CTTATTGTATTGTTGTGCAATTGTTCGAACATAATTGTACATTAAGAAATAATCCTAATTCTATGATATAGTTCAAGCAATTGTTTAAACTATTAGACATGTATTATTCTGTAATTATCAATGGTTCCTTTAGAATCTGTATATTTGATGAATGTTTGTTTTTGTTCATCTAATTTCATCTGAATACTTTTTCATTATACTCTTGTTTTATATTAGAAATAGATTGTTCAGAATTGAATATATTAAAATAGAAATTTAAAATTGATAAAATTATTCATTTACTAATTGCATTGGAACTCACATTTGTAACATAAGATGAATTCTACCAATAATATCTGAAAATGTTGTGTATTCGAATTGATTGGACATGATTATATTGTTTTGTAGAACTTATGTATATTTTCGAAGAAAATAATGAGTGAAAGTTTAAATAGAGATTTTTGCGGCTCTTTCCCTAAGACTTACCAATCAGGAGTTATATTCTGGAATTCTATGAATTGTCACTAGTCTAAATATTGCGAGTTCTGATATTTAATGCAGAGAAAGGATTTTATTGTAAGTGGCATTATTGATCTAGTAGAGTCAGAATAGGACGAACATAGAAAAATATGAATTAAATGAATCTCAAGTTTAAACAAAACTCAACAGTATATGTCGAAGTTCGTCGAGAGGAAGGCTGGTGCGCGCGGAAACATACTGAATGATTAAATTGATGTGTGTAGCAGATTAACATGATGGTTGAATCGATTAAAAAAGAATAAAATGATATTTGTCGTTTGCCTATGGTATGTGTTGTTTATATTATCATTAAACCCCTCCCCAGAATAGAAGGCCACCCTATATTAGAAGGCCACTCTCATTAGAAGGCCACCCCAGAAAAAAAATTCACAAGGCATAATAGAAGGCCATGGGGTTTCCAGAAACTTTTTAGAAATCCAGTGGATTTTTATATTTTAGTACTTAAAATCCCGGTTTTTTAGTAAAAAACCAAGGTTTTGTAGCTAAAATTACTTTTTTTCTAGTAAAAAAACTGGTTTTACGGAACTTGACTGCTAAAAGTTCCCTTTTTGAACGCCAGAAAAATTTTCCAAAAAACCTTGGTTTTTTAGGTAAATTTTAGCAAAAGATAGCCCACAATAGAAGGCCACCTTTACAGAAGCGATGTGAATTTCCATAATAGAAGGTCATGGCCTTTTATTCTGAGGGAGAATTTAGGAGAAAAGAAGTTATATATCGAAGACGTATCTGACCTTACAAATAATTTTTTTCAGTATAAAAATGTTAAATGAATTTAACGAATTGGTAGAATAGGAATTCTGAATACAAACATTTTCGAAATGATAAAATTTTAGAGCACATCTATCAAGTATAAAAAATATTATAATTTTGATTTATTGATTTATTTCTTTTTGTAGTTACTTATATTATATAGTATTGGTGAAAAAAACAACAAGACCGACATGTGTTTGATTTTTTTCTACTATACTAATCATTTAATTCATGAATAGCAAATAAAATTCTGTATTCAATGCAATTCATACCGAAATTTCATAGATGGACTAGGAGAGAAAGGTTGCTGAAAAATCAAATACAATATTTTTCAACTTCAAGAAGGCTGTTTGAAAGTTAGTTTTGAAGAATACTATGTTAAAGAGCACAAAATCTTGCATACATTGCAAGATTACTTTAATAATTACAAGCATTACAAAAATGAAAAACAAAAGTGATTTTTCACACGATTTCTAACAATGCTATGATACATTTCCTTTTTTTTTTAAATTTTTTGAAATGCTTATATCTTTTGAAGAGAATATGATTGGAAATACAGTAACCCTTATTTTATTTAGAACTTTGCACTCTGAAACATATTACTCTTAAAAACAAAATTTTCCAGTCTTCTGGAAGCTGAAGACTACTATGTATAGTTCTTTAGAACCTTTTCTCTCATATTCCATCTATGAAATCTCAATATGAACTACATTTGATAGAGAATTGTAGTGACTATCCATGAGCTAAATGCCTAGTATCATAGAAAAAAAATCAAAATATGTCGGTATTGTTTTTTTTCACCAATACTGTATGCGATAAAATTTTGTATGAGTGACTTAATTTCAAACCAAGAGAAAATCATTTGAATGTGTTGAGAATAAAATTAGATCGTCTCAAAAACTAAAAATTCATAGAAAATTCAAAATTGAATGTTCCCTATTAGAGGAACCTCCGTAATATCTTCTCTTAAGTATACTTTTACTTCTTACAAATTGTTTATGTTTGAATTGATACTTATTTTAAATATTGTGTTTTCGTAGAACTTTTCGAATTTCCTTAGATTTCATTCAGTTTCGAGAAAAGTAGATAACCATTCTTATTTGTCAAAGAAACACTACAGAAAAAAAAAGCATATGATAATAGTCAACAATTTTTAGTACAAATTTTTGATGAGCAGCGAATGTATTCTGTTGAAAATCATTTGTTATCATTTTATGATATATCGACACACATATATTCGTTTCTAGAATGTCAATGGAAATATATATAAGAGATGACGAGATCTTATCATTATCTTTTACTATAGATAAAAAGCTTGTTAGCGCAGCCCCTTTGGGGCTGAAATGTGGAACTCACATATCTCCTTTGGTTTCATTATACTAATGACAAAATGCCCAATATTTAAAATCTCTAAAAGATAATAGTTCTTTTCTAAAGATAATCGATTATTAGAAAATGTTACATTTTTATCTCTAAATTTCGAACAGAAACTTTTATTTTCACGGAGTTGCCAAGGTCTGTAATGG